ACCACCTGACTGTCCTCTCAAGATAACCTCTAACCTAACCTGACCTAACCTGATCTGACCTAACCTAACCTAACCTATACACTTCTAACCTGACCTGACCTGACCTGACCTGAACTAACCTAACCTACACACGTCTTACCTAACCTAACCTTACTTGACCTGACCTAACCTAACCAAACCTTACCTAACCTAACCTAACCTGACCTGACCTGACCTGACCTTACCTAATCAAACCTTACCTAACCTAACTTAACTTAACTTGACCTGACCTGACCTAACCAAACCAAACCAAACCTAACCTGACCTGACCTGACCTGACCTGACCCGACCCGACCCTAACCTCCAACACACATACAACTGGGTGAATGTCTGAACGCTCACATTAAAAACAATCCCAAGTCATTTATTCCAAGGATTTACGTTAACCTTCGCGCCTCGTTCACTTTAGGTAGTAAACCCTTAATGGCGAACGTACAGAAAGGTTACATTCGTGACCTGTGATTACATTGTTTTGTTCATATATCTTTAGAACTTGTCTCGTTCACGTCCCGGGATGATGCCAATATTCGGATGGCACAACTCTGACGGAGGTATTAATGCAGGTGACGTGTAGAGCCAGATGTAAACATGTGGGTGAGGTGTGTAGACCAGGTGTGTGTGTGTGTGTGTGTGTGTGTGTGTGTAAAGAAGATGGCAAGGCTCGAGGGTGTGTTTACGTACCTGCCTCACACAACACACCTATAATTAAACAAACACATCCTGACAGAGAGCGACGGATACCGGACATGGGTGTAGAGAAACTGTGATACTGAGAGAAACATTAAAATCGGGAGTATAAAATCGGTAACTTTAAATCTCAATTTTAGTCCAGTAAAATCGAGCATTTTCAGCCCAAACTCACCCCATGAGGCTCTGAGGAGCTTAACCCATGTTGAGGTAATGGTTCTCTCTCTCTCTCTCTCTCTCTCTCTCTCTCTCTCTCTCTCTCTCTCTCTCTCTCTCTCTCTCTCTCACCTCCGGGGAATGATAATCGTCTTTTACTTTTGGGGAAAATAAAATAGAATTAGTAAAGAATAATTTAACACAAATTGAAAACTCAAAATATCTGTTTTTCCGTGATTTTAATTATCATTAAGCGTGCCAAGAGGGGGAGGGGAGGAGGGGGAGAGGAGAGGGGTGAGGGTTCCGAAATGTTAATTGCTTGTTGTTTCAGTTTTCCGATACAAAACATTAAGGAAATATCTCGGTAATTCACTGTATTACCTGAGTACTGAGGGGGCGGCACACACACGGTATAGTGAGGTCCAATCGGGATGACCTCAGTTCTGTTATCCATTGACAAAACTTTAATGTTGATGATTATTGTAAATTTCAATGACTTTTTGTGTATAATGGTGACCCCGTGAACTGGTGTATAAGGGTGGTGGGTGACAGAGAGAGAGAGAGAGAGAGAGAGAGAGAGAGAGTGGTGGGTGACAGAGAGAGAGAGACAAGGTGGTGGGTGACAGACAGAGAGATGAGACAGGTACATCGCCAACTTTGTCTGTGTGTGAACTTGTCTAGGTGTGTCACAAGCTGGTGGTCAGTCACTGTTGGTTTGTGGTGACTCGTACTAGTTCTCAGCCACACACATATACCTACATCTACACCTACACCTGACTGATACATATGCAAATAGTGTGTGAGTCACGGTTATACAGTTATAATTGACTGTTAACACACAAACAGTTACCACCCCCCTTCCTTCCTGCCCACTCACGTACCATAACCATTGATAGGTATAATCTTATCTCTACTACTACTACTACTACTACTACTACTACTACTACTACTACTACTACTACTACTACTACGTGGCCTCCAGCCTCCCCCAATAGCCACACCTTCGCCACCATTTATTTACCTTAATATTAAATATCCTAATACATAAGCAACTATCCTATCTGTGTTAAATTAGTTGAGCCGCAGATCGATGCGGCATTCGGTGACTGTAGCCTCATAGTCGATATCTGCAGCAGTTGACGGAGTAGGGGCAGAAGCTCTCGTTCCCCTGAGGCAGAGCAAAGCCGACCGAAGGAGAGAGAAGGACAGTCGACATCTCATCCAGGCTGTGACATAACTTCTGGGCTGCTGCTTCTGTTCGGAGATCAGCTCCGCGAGTCTGGCGTAGAAACATCTTGCGCTTGGGCCCATCCCACCAGAGGTTGTGAACACTAGCGGAGTGAAGCTGCCTTGATCGACATTTTGAATTCTCTCCCCATATGCCCTTCTCTTGTCGTTCTCGTTCCTCCTATGTGCAGCATCGAGAGCTAGGTTACGGTGACAAACGGCCATGGGATCAAAAATCCTGATGTCGAAGAAGGCTCGCTGTCCCCGCGTCCAGAATCCTCGAGCACTGACGTCCACACGGGCTTCGTTAGATGTGTTTGAAGTCCTGTGTTGGAGGATCTCGCCATCCAGTGGAAGGAGGGTCGGTTCTACCATGACGTCCCGGCAGGTTTCCTTCAACATATTTGCTGTGAGATCCCTTACCTCGTCATGCCTCATGCATATGAAGCCCCCCTTCTTGCAAACCATGGCGTGATCGCCATCATAGGAATAGCCACACACGCATTGGGAGGGCAAACCATCTACTGGCCAACCGTACCTTAGAGCAATGGCATCTGTAAATTCTTGTTTGTTAAGGCTGAAACCATTTGCCCTTATCGGTAACGTAGTTAACCAGTTCGAGGCGCCCACCTCCTGCGCTATAGCTACTTTTTTTGTCAAATTTTCTGGAACCTGCAGCAATAGTTGCTGCAACATGTCATTTTGGCAGTGCTGCCGATCTGTTGTAATGGATCTACGGATCTTATTAACTTCGCTGGTGTCCACTTCCCCTGTTGCATTCTGGGCTATTATGTGGTCAGTGAGGGCTGCCGTGAGCTTAAGTGAATTTTGATGTTCAGAGTCAGCTACCTACTACTACTACTACTACTACTACTACTACTACTACTACTACTACTCTTAACAGCCTCGTTTAACTTGTCTTCACTTTCCCGAGTCAATAAGCTGGTGGTCCCTGGGCGTGGTGGTTGGGACGTGGGCGTGGTAGTGGTGGTATCGTAGATATGGTGGTTGTGGCGTGTACGTGGGCGTGGTGGCGTGTACGTGGGCATGGTGGCGTGTACATAGTGATGGTAGCGTGTAGATTCTTCTTACAAGAGCTGAGTGTTTTTTCCTGAGCGTCCTGAGAGGATTGTTGTGTTTAAACTCTCTTCATTAATGGACAGATTATCGACCACACACGGGGGCCTACCTGGCTCTACCTGGCTGTGAGACTGACCCCTTACCTGGCTCTACCTGGCTGTGAGACTGACCCCTTACCTGGCTCTACCTGGCTGTGAGACTGACCCCTTACCTGGCTCTACCTGGCTGTGAGACTGACCCCTTACCTGGCTCTACCTGGCTGTGAAACTGACCTTTACCTGGCTGTACCTGGCTGTGAAACTAACCCTTACCTGGATGTACCTGGCTGTGGGACTGACCCTTTACCTGGCTGTACCTGGCTGTGAAAGTAACCCTCGTAAGGTTATATGCTGGCCTGTTAATGATGTAAATACACTTCCAAAGTCTCTACGTCGGGTATTTAACACTCACCTGTGGAAGGAATTTACCTGTGCTCCCGTCGTCTTAACTCCCTACTTAACACCTGCCGTAGAGGAGAGACATATACACTGTTGGAACCTCGGGATTAACACCATCTGTAATCCACCACACTGTATACATAGCACCTCTTAACTCGTCTCACCTCCTCCTCCTCCCTATCAAAACATCGCCACTTATTCCTTAATCTTGTGTGTTTCTCATCTCTAACATGTGTCTCATCGTAATGTTATCTCTCTCTTCACCTTCTCTCCTTCTCTCACTACAGCTGCTTTATCTATCTCCTTTATTCGTTAGTGTCTCGGTATCTTATTCATACTTCTCTTCATTGTCTCTACACACGCCTTCGCTTAACCATTTGTGATGTCCGATTATCTCCTTACGATTGTGCTTGTGTCTCTCCTTATCTCCATACCTCTTGTGTCTCTCCTTCATCTTCTACACCACAGTCGCTGCCTCCCAGACCTCCCATGAATCATCGCTGCCGAACAAATTGAATAAGTGAGTTACCTACTTTATACCCGGCGGTCTTCACGGTGACGTTAGTAATGTGAGGAATAATAGAGACCGCAGGAGGGCGTGTACACACTCATGATACACTGCTAGACTTTCTTCCTCCTCCTCCTCCTCTCTTCTTCCTCCTCCTCCCCTCTTCTCACGCCCCAACAAGAAGATCATTACATATTTGCAGTAAGTATCTGGAAGGTTCTCGAGGCTGGGATTAACGCCCTCCCAACACACTCTCAGAATGTAGTTTGTGTCGACGTGCATTCCCCAGGACTACCAGAGTGCCGGGCATCTCGTCCCCCGCCGCTGCTGTAGCCAACACAACCGCTCTCTCTCTTCCCGGGTTTCTCACTGCTTCTATGAGTGTTTCGGGCTGGACTAAAAGCTACTTTGACTAAAATTACGAACTGAAGGTGTTGTGTAAACAAGGGTAAGACCTCTCCTGGGAACTCCACGCAAATGTATGAACTTAGATAAATTCTACACAAAAAATAAAAGGAAATTATATAAGCTATTGTTTTGCACACAGTGGCTCGGAAGGTAAGGTTGTTATTGTAAATGGTGGAGCTGAGAGAACGACCATATTGGAGCATTTTATACCAGATACTGCCAGTGTTATTATTTTATACCAGATGTTGCCAGTGTTACTATACCTCCGTGAATGCAACTTAACACTGTTCTTATTTTTATTATATAACTGTTTAATGTTTCCCAGTATAAACCAAGACACTTGTTTACATACTGTACTGGTGTGGGAGGTTTTGGGGACTGAAGGAGTGTAATTGGGTTCTTACAGGTACGTGATGCTAGAACAGAAGAACAGGTAATAATAACTCGTGTTCTTACAGGTACCTGGTGCTTGAACACGTCTCTGGTGGGGAGCTCTTCGACTACCTCGTCAAGAAGGGCAGATTAACGCCAAAGGAGGCGCGCAGATTCTTCAGACAAATTATATCAGCCTTAGATTTTTGTCATAGTCATTCTATATGGTGAGTACTGTGTGTGTGTGTGTGTGTGTGTGTGTGTGTGTGTGTGTGTGTGTGTGTGCCACTGGTCATTAGCTATCCCCCTAACACACTCCCGCCGACCGTCCACAACTTAAGAATATATTTTTAAAAAAATAAAAAATCCCTAGCAGCCGTTTCATCCCCCCACAGCCACAGAGTTGATGGTGTAGTAAATATGACCCATATTGTTGACTCTCGCTCCCAGTGGCGCCAGACACACACTAAGATGGCACATATGCCCACAATTTTATTCTACACTGTTGACTGAGTATATACGTGGTGAGGCTTACTGAGGCTTAAATACATCAGGAGTTATCATCATCCCTCATCAGTGAAAGAAAAAAAATGAATTTACAAAAGAGGAAGTTTAGGAAATTCTTAAATCATACTGCTAAAGGTTCCCAGGTCTGAGAGGTGACAAGTCCACGCCTGTGACCTGGACGGTGGTGCATCTCAGCACTGCCACTCACACATCTCAAGCTGGAAGACCTTTGTGCCTCAGGTTTGATATTTTCCACTACAAAGACCTGAAGACTCTTCTTATCCGACGTCTGGATATTCTTACTGCCAAGAGCTTGACATTCTGCAGGAACAAAAACTTAACCATCTTGAGTCTTGCACATGATAGGTCTTAAAACTCTTATGATTTGAACAGTTTTCCAGTATTAAAAACACGGTGCTTCACTCACTGACTTCTAGAAACTTTTTTTATCAATAATCTGGAAACACAGTTTGTGGAAAGTTTGTTATCAAAGCGTTGGTAACTTATGATGACTGAGGCTGACTTGTGACCCCCCACACGTCACCAGACCTGAGACTGAAGAGTGTGCACTACACTACGTCTCAAGTCTGGCAACTTTAACGTCCCAAGTCTGGCAACTCCCATTTCAGAGATCTAAATACTAACTTGGTTGAGCGTGTAGAGCCTCCCACATCCTTTGTCCGCAGCCTCTCACATCCTAAGTCTGGAAGCTATGACACCCTGACGCGGGAAGGTCTTACTTACAAAACCTGGAATACCCCAGATCCTAAGTCCGGATAATCTGATACCCAAAAGCTGGATTCTCACTTAGGTCCAAAGTTGGGAAACCTCCTCCATCCTAAATTTATAACCCCTTACGTCCTAAATCAGGAAGATCCCTCATCGTAACTCTGGAGACTCCGATGGCTAAGGGCTGGCTACTCTCACTCCTCAAGATTGGAAACCTGAACTCGTGAGGTGTGGAGGCTGCCAGGCGCTGGGAGAACTTGGCAGGGTGCCGCATCCCCCGCGAGACCAGACACGGTGACGTACCTAACATCCGTGTACCAGTGTTATCACCACGTGCCCCGGGGAGGGTCCATGACGTGTTATTGGACTCGCATACCCTAAATATTATGTACCGCCCCGCTCAACTGTATACCCTAGGGGCTGCACTAAGTTGTATAAATTATTCTTGTTTTAAAAAGCAGATCACATATAAAAATTTTGTCAAACACGTAATGAATTATCGATATTTCGTAAATGTTTGATAAATTATTTGACGAACATATATTCTGTTTTTCGACGGTTGATGTAACACTAAACAGACAATGTTTTCCTGGGATCACCTGAAGAATCTCCACCCCAGCTTATTTTATCAAAAGGTCAACCACCCTAACGCTAGCTTAACCTAACCTAACCTCATCCCCCAATATCTAATTACTAACTAACATTATTGTGATTATGACGTCATCAGTGTTTTGCTCTTTCCAGTACAAAAGATCATGTAAGAAACTCCCGTCAACTGAGTAAAATCGTCTGGTGTTAGTCAGAATAAAGACGCTTAGGGATACTTAGCTCTCTAAAGGGTTAAGCTTCGGGACTATTGGATTCAAACCAGAGACTTTATCGTGTGTCAGCGAGACTCATGACTACAGACAGACAGACAGGAATGACGATGCAATTATTTATGTCCTCTCCTCAACTTTTCAATTTGAAAGAATTTTAGGAATTAATGAAAACCAGAATGTGCGTGCGTGAGTCCTTCCGTCTGTCTGTCTGTCTGTCTGTCTGGAGATGAATGGTAACGATAGCACATTAAGTGATGAGGATAACGAAGTGAATGGTGAGGAGAGTGAGGAGAGAAGAAGGAGCAGTATTGACAGATTGCCAGGAGGAGGAGGAGTCACCACCACCATTAACGCACCGACGCCAGCCTTTTAGCTCACACTGGCGTTGGATCATACCTCACAGGCGTTCGTAAGGATGGCTTAAGTAATATAGAGTTGATGATAAGTGGAGTCGCCTTGAGATTCACTTAATGATATGTTGTTGATGGAATGGATAGAGGGGTTTGATAAGAAGGGGGGAAGGGGTGTGTAGGGGGAAGGGGTGGAGGGGAAGGGGGTGTGGAGGGGGAAGGGGTGTGGAGGTGGGGAAGAGGGTGTGGAGGGGGAAGGGTGTGGAGGGGGGAAGGGGGTGTGTAGGAGGGAAGGGGTGTGTAGGGGAAGGGTGTGGAGGGGGAAGGGGGTGGAGGGGGAAGGTGGAGGGGGGAAGGGGTAGAGGGGGAAGGGGGTGGAGGGGAAGGGGTGTGTGTGTAGGGGAAGGGTGGAGGGGGGAAGGGGTGTGTGAGTGAAGGACTGTGAAGGGAAGGGGGTGAGGGTGTGATTGAGGGAATGTGAAAGGAGGGAAGGAAGGGAAGGATTGAGAGTTTGGGAGGGAGGGAGGGACTGTGAAGGAAGGGAAGGTAGTTTCAGGGTGTCTAATCTTCAGGTAATCTCTGAGTACCGACGAATACAACGATACTCGGAGACTGAGAGATGTGGCAGCGTCAGGAAGAAGAGACCCGAGGCTTAGGGGGGGGGGATAGAGGAGGGTTGTGGTAATGCTTATAAAATTTCAAGAGCTGATTGACTGGTCTGTAAATGGAGAAAAGGTAGAAACTTGGTGGTTAGGGGTGGGTGATGGGGGACAGGTGGTGAGGGTGGGTGATGGGGGGGACAGGTGGTGAGGGTGGGTGATGGGGCAGGTGGTGAGGGTGGGTGATGGGGGGACAGGTGGTGAGGGTGGGGTGATGGGACAGGTGGTGAGGGTGGGTGATGGAGAATAGGGGATGAATATGATTGTGTGAATGGTGACAGTCTTGATAGTTATATAAAAAAATGTGATTATTATGATGGTGGTTATAATACCGATGATGATGAAGGCAGCCCTACATCACAACATGAAGACAGCCCTACCACACAACACAGCTGATGAAGGCAACCCCGCCACACATCACAGCTAATGAAGGCAGCCACACATCACATGAGTGGTGTGGTGCTGGCAGTGACTCAGACGCCGCCACCCTGAGCTGCGTGCTGGAACAAGGCCAACATCACCATTCCAGTAACGAAAACTGTAAATTCCCTCGACTTGAGACAGCTACCCCACCTAATTTTTCTCCCCAACTTGTTCTCGGGAATTTAGGCCCCTGATCTTTGGGGAGGTATTTTTTTTATTGGTGGGAGGGAGTATTAGCTTGCTGGTTCCTCTGTTATTAAGGTGAGGCGCTGATGGGAAGTAAACACAACAGGTGAACCACTTTGTGACGCTAGTAACCTTAGTTTGGGAGTGTTGGGTTGAAGTGAAGTATATATTATAACTGAAGGTGTTCTTGTCGATACGTAAGAGAGATAGAAAGAGATTGATATATTTAAACAGGAGTAAAAACACTCCCCTGATCCATTCTCTACTCCTCTACTACGACAACCAGTCCATAAAACCAGATTATTCTAAAGGTATATAAGTCAGGTCCTAAACGACTGACTAACATGCTATTACTCTCGTGGCCATCACACCGTCAGCTCTCAGTCTCCTGCCGTATGAGAGAAGTGAAGTTCATCTCATATTCTCTCGTCAGTTGTGAACCATAGATAGAACCCTCGCAGTCTCCCCCAGCCCCGCCTTCGTCATCCAATTGTTACTAACCTCACCTCTTTCATCATTACCAGAGGGATTTGAAGCGGACTTGTCAATACACATAACTCGCGCGAGTCTTTGGAAACATGGCAGAAGTATTGCAGGTCAGCAGGACACTTGAGCATGATGATCAAGGTGTGGGGTGATACTTGCATCCTCAGCTGAGTGTAAGAGTGAAGCTCAAGACCTCAAGACGTGCTCAGGCAAAACTCACCTTAATCATCTCTCATAAACGCTCATATCGGTGTTTCCAGACATTGATTTGTTATTATAATTCGTGTGTATCGTGGAAGTCACCCAATACCGTACAAGTTTCACACATTATCGTATATTTCTCAATCATTTTTGTTTTACTTTGTTACAACATGATTTACTTCCCTGTAATGATCCAACGGGTTAAAACGTCGTCCACTAACTCATCTTCCTGTGTTTTGAACTGTTATTTATTGTGTAAGATTTCTAATTATTCAACTGTTGTGATAATTGATAACTGACTATGTATATATATATGTGTGTGTGTCTCGCCAGCCACCGGGACCTCAAGCCAGAGAACCTTCTGCTGGACGAGAAGAACAGCATCAGGATTGCCGACTTTGGTATGGCCTCTCTCCAGCCTGAAGGGTCTATGCTTGAGACATCGTGTGGCTCCCCGCACTACGCTTGTCCGGAGTGTGTTCATCCTACAAATTAATACCTATATCCTAATGAACACACAGGTACACGCAGGTAACAGACGATGACTCAGAGCAACACCTTACCGCACATTAATTGTTCACGATACTAGATATAATACTGGAGATATTACCTGGATGTAGTAATTAACCTGGTCTTTTACATCACGACAGACGAACACACCGACGGTATGTTTGAGTTTCCCGAGAGAGTATAAAAAAAAAAAGTGGGATTGCAATTAAAAAATATAATTCAATTAAGTTTTTTTTCTGTGTGGTTTTTTTTTTGTGAGTGTCTTTGCAATTAGCTGTGAGCCTCCCCTTCCTACCCCTCTCCACCCCCCCTCCTTCTCCTCTCCTCCTACCTCCTCCCAACCCCCCCCCCTCTCCAGGTATACCCTTGTTGTCTGGAGGATGTGTATGATATTTGTGTTTTATATTAGAAGTTCATAGAGAATAAATTAAGATTATTATTGTAGTAGTAGTAAGCAATGCGTGAGTTGTGCTATATAACCGTATTAACCCCCTCACCCACCCATCACCCACCCCGTCACCAGCCGTCACCCACACCATCACCCACCGTCACCCCTCATCACTAACCCGTCACCCACCCGTCACCTGCATCACCCACCCATCACCTTACCGTCACCCACTCATCTCATAACCCGTCACCCACCCCATCTTACCGTCACCCACCATCACCACCGTCACCATCACTAATCCGTCACCCACCGTGCCCTGTCTCAACACTAACAGCTCTCTAACATTATCTAACTATAAAGGCGAATAATCAGCTTCTCTCTTTCACCTAACTGAGCGCTGATTGATATTTGAGTAAACGACATTAGTGAACTATTCTGAACATTCAAAATGTCCTAAATCCACCTAGATGATATAGAGAAATGTGACAGTATTCTGATAGTGGTGTGTGTGTGTGTGTGTGTGTGTGTGTGTGTGTCCAGCTCTCTCTCTCTCTCTCTCTCTCTCTCTCTCTCTCTCTCTCTCCACACACGCTGGTACATTGATTAAAATTGTGTTGGGTTATAATCAAGTCTTACCATTATATATAAAAAAAATTCGCCATCGTTGTCATCCAAAGTGGTCCAGTGTTTTGGTGTATGGTCCGTGATGTAACCCAAGTGACGAGGCGTGTACTGGAGCCATTTGTAAAGTCTAATTTGTTAAGTGGAAGTGACAAGCTCTTAGCAGGCGTCTCTCCTGTTGTGTGAGGCAGCCTAAGCTCTCTCTCCTGGGTGAGGGTTTGTTGTCCTCCCGCCATCTTGGATTAGGCTCGTAGGCTCTTGATGTAAACAACACAAACAAAAGAAGAGTGAATGAGATTATTATTATTATTATTATTATTATTATTATTATTATTATTATTATTATTATTATTATTATTATTTAATGTTAATTGTTTCTACACTTAATATTTACAGTATTTCCTGCACCATCCACTTCCAATAATATCCCAACGCTACAAACAGGACATATCCCTAAAGGCTAAAAACCTCCACTTACCATAATTTCCCCACACTTAAACATGTTGCCGAAGATTTAAAAAGGAATAGTTTACGATAAGTCTCCATAGTGGTGATCCTGTACGCCCTGCTGGTGGGAGCGCTGCCCTTCGACGACGACAACCTACGGCAGCTACTGGAGAAGGTGAAGCGCGGCGTGTTCCACATCCCTCACTTCGTCCCTCCAGACTGTCAGGACCTGCTGAGGGGCATGATCGAGGTGAACCCTGAGAAGAGATTCACGGTGAGTTGATATCATGTTATACTTCTCTCTCTCTCTCTCTCTCTCCCCCCAGAGTTTTAGTTTGGCCGTTTTATATTGTCTTTCCACTTTTCTAACATCAACAATACTAACTGATTACTGTGCAGCAATTACATACGTACATACCAGTACATACATACATACATATACGAGTACATACATACATACGTACATACATACGTACATACATACACCTAAATACAAACTAAAATTGCAGAAACTCGGTCTCCTTTAACAAGCAACCGACCCCCACAGTTAAACAACCTCAACAATAACAAAAAGCTTCTGGTCAACACTAAACTCATTTCACTCCAATTTCACGAGACATTCTTCAGCTCCTCTTAACCTGCCTCATGGCTTCCTGGAATCAGATCTCCAGACAAAGAGGCCAAAGTCTTCTCTCGATATTTTTGTCCTCCAACTCCGCCGCTGTACTCCCAGATGATGTTAGTCCACCTCCACACTCCGGGGTCTGGTAGGCTCTTGAGATAACTGAACTCCAGATTAAGACTAAGGAAGTAAGATCCATTGTTGATGACGTGAAAGTGGACACAACCGCAGGAGGCAGGGGGCGAGGCAGGGGTGGGGGGGTAAACGGGGTGACTCCAATCATTCTGAAAAAGTGCACTCCTCAACTTGCGCCATTTTCTCCCAACTCTTTTTGTTTCTCAGTTAAATATTCTCTAAGCAACACGGAATTATTTAACTTGGGAGGCATCGTCCATAATATATGAAAGTTCTGTGTTCAGTCGCGGATGAAATACTGTACTGTTCTCCTATCTGGACCAGGTGTGACTTGTATAATAATTAACAATAGCACAGTTACAGGTATGATTCCCTGATAAAAATTGTGTCGAGATGTTGCATTCTTTTTTCCTCCTCTTCTATAACCACAGGTGCTCCCAGGCACTAAGCCCCATTGTGCCTCCCCCGCCGGGCTAGGTCGCTCCAACCCGTACCTTGCTTTTGTGTCGCCTCTCTCAGTACACAACTTCTGCTTTCAAAAATTCATTTGTTCCAGAACTACAGCTTTTTGGAGTTCTTCTCTGCATAACTGTTCCCCCACAAGTTTCAGTCCACACACCTGTATGAAAACTTTTGAACACACTTTTTCCTTGATTAGGATCACCCTCAGGTGCCCCGACCATCACCTTGTTGTGTGAGAGTTGACTTCCTCCGCCTCACCTCACCTCACCTCACCTCATCCTTCTTCTTGAAAATAAAATTATATTATATACATAAACACAATTGTTCGTGGTTTCACACAGATTCTTAAAACTGCTCAGTCACACACACACACACACACACACACACAAATGTTTCATAGTAAAAAACATTCTTATATAAATTATGTCGAGCGTTGAAACCTACCGTAAATTATGAAAGCGAGAGTAAGGACTATAGTGGTTGTTGTCTATACTGTAAACACTCGACACACTTCACCTCCAGACTCACCTTGTTAACTCGTCCTGGAGGGTGACGCTGTGGAAGACAACAAAGAAGCTTGTAGTCAGCCCTTGTGGTCCCAGAATGATAGGAGCTTTGGTGAACTTCCCTTAGCGTTGACACACTTTACTTCTCGCGAATATATTAACACATTATCACAGTTTAAATACATAAATTGTACATCAGCTTCACTTCTCAATGGCACAAAGTTATAGAAAAGTACAGACGCACAGAAAAAAAAATTGTCTTTACGATTTTGTGTTAGACAATATGACACAACGGACGAAGGATTTTGATAACCCTACCGAGACAACAGGAGTCGAGGTGTTCATTTTTAAATTCATCGGACCGTGAAGATACTGTTTGTGTGTACAGTACCTATGTGATGTTTGGTCGTTTCTTGAGATACTTTATATCACTGTATTTTGTTGTTGTTTGTATCGATGAACTTTAACAATGTCAATTTAAGAATAGATTCGATATAATAGAGTTGTTTATCAGAGCCGTCAAGGTGAGTTCCCGGAATGGTGGTGATGAGTGACGATGGTGTGTGTGTGTGTGTGTGTGTGTGTGTGTGTTTACCTCCCCAGCCGTCGCGAAATAGTTTTTATGTTTGGTTTATGAATCAGTGACCTCTTTACAGCAAGGAGTTCCCGATAACAGGTTAGTTCCGATTAGAAATACCGATTTAACTTGTTTTTTTTTTCCTTGTTTGGGGTGGAATTTCTTTTATTACCTTCAGTGTGTTAATTACTAAAGTGAGTTTATTGATGTTAGACAAAAAGTGTTCTACTGTAAGTAACTTTTCTGATACACATAGAAACATAGAAATTTGTTATCAGGTAGAAGAAAATTTTTATATGACTGTCAGTTTTCCTTCAGCATAACTTTCATCAGGAAATCAAACGGATCACTTGAAGATTAGACACCCCCAGTTTATTTCATAATTATGTTGTATTAAACGCTTTAACCCAAACCTAACCTAACCTAACCAAATGCAACTTAGCACTATTTGAAATTTCATAGATAAATCATCAATCTTGCTTTATTATAACGAAAGGAATAACATGTATCAAGTTATATAATTAGAAACAATGAACGGAGTATTGTATAACACACACACACACACACACACACACAAAATTATTACAGCTTAAGTGAGTGTCGTGTGACGGTAGGTTACAACATGACAGGTCCTCAGTGGGCCTGGGACACACACACACCGCCCAGCCTAACCACTTACAGTATACTATAGAAGGCAACAGATGGGTGTAAATTGTGTTGCGGCCGCCCACCATTTCTTGTGTTCCTTGGGGTATAAGGAGGCAGTTTTTCTCCCCGTCAAGAGGTGAATAACACTAGTTTTGGGGGCTGGTGTTGTTGTTGGGTTTTCCTGTTATATATTTCGTTTATTTTCATAGTTTGGTTTAGGTTTTATGATAACGTTCTTATAACTTTGTGTTTTATTAATAAACTCTGGAATAAAACAATGTTTTGGGGGTTTTCGAAGTTAAAGAGTTGGCTTCATAATTTATTATTCTAGAAGTACTTTTCCGGGTGTAGTGAGGGCTGCCACGCCTACACACACCACGCCTCCACGCCACCTCCCGCCACGCCTCCACACGCCACGCCTCCACGCCCGCCTCCACGCCACGCCTACACACGCCACGCCCACACACGCCACACCTCCACACCCACGCCTCCCGCCACGCCCGCCTACACCGCCCACCCACACCCACACCACGCCCACACGCCTACACACCTCCACACCACCTCCACACCTCCACCCACCTCCACGCCTACACACACTCCCGCCTCCCACCCACCTCACCTCCCACCTCCACCCTACACACACACCCACCCCACCCCACACCTCCCTCCCACACACCCCACACACACACACACACCCACATACACACCCACACACACCTCCACACCACGCCTACACGCCAAGCCTCCCACTAGTTTTATCGCTTCATCTTCCCTTTGTCGTCGTCGTAATAGGCTCAGTAACCCACCTATATAGTGCTCTAGTGAGGAGAATTTTATTTTATTGTTCAGCCTTTGTTTTTCTTCCCCATTTTATTAGTTTTTTTTATATATATATTTACAACTCCTACTGTCATCACTACACAATGTTAACGACTTGTTTTGCCTCCATCCTGTTCCTCTGCTTACTACTAATAATAATATCACTCGCCCCATCCTGTAGAGTATGTTTTTACCGTGATATTTGTGAGCTGTCATCATGTAACAACCTTCCTTCTCCTTCTCCTCCTCCCGCCTTAGCTGGAGGAGATCAACAAGCATCCGTGGGTGATCGCTGGAGGGAAGGGAGAGCTGGAGTTGGAGAAGCCCATGATGGAGGTGGTACAGACCCACATCATCCCCACCAAGGACAGCATCGACCCCGACGTCATCCGGAACATGGCCTCCCTCGGCTGCTTCAAGGACAAGGATAAGGTCATGTTGGATCTCCTTGACCCATGGTGAGAAAAGCATCGTTAGGTCATGGTAATTATTGTTTCATTGATAGCTTTTTTGTTTCCTGTCTGAAGATCAAGAACCTACCGCCCTGATGACCCAGTGACGAGAGTTCATGGTGTAAATAAAACCCATACAAATACTCTGATTAAATTAACAAAAGAAAATGATAAAGATGAGGTAATAAAGATAATTAAATAGGAAAGGAATGTGACGTGAAATAATTAATGGTATAATTATTATTTTTGGGGGAGGGATCACCTGAAGATTAGTTCTCCTGAGTTTATTTGACATTAAGATTAACCACCCTAACCTAACCTAATGCTAACCTAACCCCCCCCCCCTAGCGTTTAATCTTGAGGTGAAATAAACTGAGTTGACTAATCTTCATGTTATACAGCTGAATAATGTGAGGTAGTAGTAGTAGTAGTAGTAGTAGTAGTAGTAGTAGTAGTAGTAGTAGTGCTGGGGGTAGTTTCTACGTCATGCTTGAGGTACAGAGAATGAGTGTAGTATGTGTAGGGGTTACAGGTAAACATATGGAAGAATACCTGTTAGTGCTTTAATTAACAGGTGACAAGGAAATAATTATCTATACGTCCTGCACTATCCATGTATAAATCGTTTGTATATTTGCACTTTATGTATATTGTATACCTACATTGTCTCTTTATATGTTGAATCATTGTAAACTTGTATAATGATTTTTACTGGATAAATATCTAGCTATGTATATGGATCACCCAGTCATTACGTGTCCCTCTCCTGCAGCCACAACACAGAGAAGGTCATCTACTTCCTCCTGTTGGACCGAAAGAGACGGAAACCAGCGTGTGAGGACGAGAACGAGATCATCCACCGGTACCGATCAGAGTCAGCCGACCCGCCACGCAAGAGGGTAGATACCTGCTCCGTCAACGGCACCATGTCCCACTTCGAGCGGCTGGCAGAAGGCTCTCCCATCAGCCCGCGCCGCAACCTCTCTCATCAGTACGTAACCCACCACGCCACCCACTCCGCCCACAGTCAAAAATGTATCCTTGTAATTTATATTAGACAATTTGACACAACGGACGAAGGATTTTGACAACCCTACCATAAGAACAGGAATCGTAATGTTCATTTTGAAATTCATCGGCCCCTTTCATACAGATACTTTTTGATAGTTTACTGAGTGTGCCTTACTCGCTCTTGCTTTTAATTATGAAGACAATTGATATACTGTATATATTAACTTAGATCACGTGAGGATTAGCCCTCCTAGTTTATTTCATCTGATGATTAAACACCTTAATGTTACCTGGGGGTTAGGTTAGGTTAGGTTGATCTTCTGGTTTTCTTTTTTCTTTTAATATATAACTCCTGCTGTGGTAGGGTCAGTTTTGTCTATTGTATCCTAGGTTTTCAATGACAACACACACACACACACACACACACACACACACACACACACACACACACACACACTCTTAATGAAGTAAATAAAATACAACTTAAACTTAAAAACTAAATGTATAAATGGTTCAGATATCATAGTAATCTTAGTAGGGATAACTGATAGAGGATACAATACCCTCAAGCAACAAACACAGAGGTAGTTTGTTTAGGTGAGGTGTTTCCGTCACCCAGGAACACGTGACTCTGTGTTAGGATCTTAATTAACAGGTATATAGAGAGAGTTATTGTTTATTTACTGTGATGTAACGTGTAGTCGTGTCTCCAGGTCGTCGCACACGCTGCCATGTAGTCGTCGCCGTTCTGGTAACAACAACAGCGGGTCACACTCTCCTCTTCACTCCAACAACGTGACGCCCACCGCCTCCCCGCTCTCCTCGCCACGCACCTCCCGCCACCACCACTCCCAGCCGCACTACCATCATCACCACAGTAGCACCACCAGCAGCACCAGCACCAGCGGGGTCAGCACCGTGGTCAGCAGCACCAGCAGTCACCAGCAGTCGGGCACAATAACTTCAGGTGATGACAGTAACCCGCCGTCAGCACCTGGCTCCCCTTATTCGGCGCCTTACTGGAAGTCTCGCCTCAACACTATTAAGAATTCTTTCCTAGGTTCCCCGCGCTTCCACAGGAGGAAATTACAAGGTACTGTAGTTGCTGTAGCTGTTGTTAGTTCTGCTTTTACTGGTGTGGGAGATATAGAGGGTATGCTACAGTGACAATTCTTCCATCTATTATAAGTGAGTCCGTCAACACCTTCTATGAGAATACCAATAAGTGTTTTCTGTTTCAGTTCCGACAGACGAGGTACATTTAACGCCGGAGTCGTCGCCGGAACTGACGAAGAAATCATGGTTTGGGTCGCTAATGAGCACGGAGCGTGACGAGACCTACACAATCTTGGTAAAAGACAAGGCCTTGGCTACTGTCAAGGCTGACCTCATCCACGCCTTCCTCTCGGTGAGTCTTGGGGTGGGGGTGGGGGAGTCAGGCAGGGAGGCCACCTTTACCTCTGGCCTCCCGCCCTCTACACACTACCGCCACCACCTGAACCAACTCTCAACAGCTTCACGCCTTCTGAACTTTTTATCCTCCCAATGTTTACAAAGATGCTTGTTAGTATCTCATGGTCTAGTACTGTTGTGGGTTTCTCTAGGTTCTATGATAGAGCTGTGATGAGTTAATGCTTGTGAGGAGGAGTAGGTGTTGCTGGTGTAGGAGTAGAGAGGAGTAGGTGTTGCTGGTGTAGGAGTAGAGAGGAGTAGGTGTTGCTGGTGTAGGAGTAAGGTGAAGCGCTATAGACCAGTGTAATAAGAGGACTGTCAGATCTGTCGAGAAAGTTTGAGAATTTCATCAGGTAGAAACAGTAAATATTTATCAGTGTTTAAGATACGAATATTAAGTAAAGAGAAAAGTTGTCTCCAAGTGGGTTTTTTTATTCGTTTTTTTTCGGTTTTTTCGTGTTTTTTTTTTTAAATTTCAGGTTAATTTTGACTTCCTATATATGATGATCTTTGTTAAATTAGTATTATTATACAGGTGAGATGCGCACTAATTAATGAGTCTCTCTCTCTCTCTCTCTCTCTCTCTCTTTCTACTCTCTCTCTCTCTCTCTCTCTCTCATCATCACACACACACACACACACACACTATCTCTGACGGTAAGGTGTTTATTTTTTATTTTATTTTATTTTTTTACATTCCAGGTGGCAGAGTTAAGTCACAGCGTCACGTCACCGATGAGTTTCCGGGTAGAATATAAGCGGGGCAGCACGGGTCCAGCCATGTTCCAAAGACACGTGAGGTTCCAAGTGGACATCACGCCGGTGTGTTCCCCTAATGACCCCAACCCACTCTACGCCATTAACTTCATCCTCCTCTCTGGTATGATGGGTAATGAACCAACACAAATACATTTTTTCGTATTATCCCCGCTTCACAGCTTAAAGCTTATCGAGCTTAAGGTGAGCTTGTACTCTCTTCCACCACCCGGGTTAAGCTTATAATATATACTAAGGTATTGTGGAGTCTAACAACCTGTGTCTGGGATTTTCTTAAGTTTCATTTATTATTTCCCCCATTTACTGTAGACCAGAACATTGTCAGCTTCAACAGTTTGGGTTTCTAAATTAATGCTACACCACAAATGACCAATTTTAAACGTGTTCTCATATCTCCAGTTTAGGAAATATAACATATGAACGTTTGAAAATCCCAGCCTTTGAATTAGTGCGATATACAGTAAATATACTCATAATTCTCACTTGTTTCTCACTACAGACGTGAGAAATATATAGGGTGTGGAGGAGATGTACTCTATATATTACGTAATGGTATTCTGTAAAATTAAGTTATAGTATTGTAGTTCATACAGTCCATTATGTGACACTGAAACAAAGTATTTACCTCTCCCTCCCTCCGTACAGTACAGTGGTGTGTGACTGATTGGGAATTGTAGTGTGTTTGTAATAATGTTCCAGCACGTTTGGTTCCTGCTTGGGATTTGCTTTCACAACACTATTTATTAATTAGCAAAATTGTCTTGTCAAACTACGTATGCACAACACTACACTGTACACTCTTAAGACACTGATTAAATTGTACACGCACGACACACTTTCACTAGTACAGTATTTACACACACTTGAGATGTTGGCTGTATTCTTGCAATAAATTTGTAATATGATGTTGAGAATTGTCATATTTTATCAATGTATTCAGTTGGAAATACTAATACAGTTACAAACGTGAATAACATCTCGGGTACAGAAATTCTTGTATGAATTCTGTACTCAAAGATTGTTCAAGGATAAGGATACAAGTATGAATACAGGCAACAGTCACATACATACATACATACATACATACATACATACATACATACATACATACATACATACATACATACATACATAAATACATACATACACTGCATCCTGGCAACCTGTGATAGTGCTTTAGATGATTATATTACCTCGTATGAATTACAATACTAAATATCTTCTCTGTTCCTTTATCTGGTAATGTTTTGATCACTGTTATGCGATTCGTTTCCTTATCTGAGTGCTGACCAATTGACCACTCATGCATCCGTTTGTCATGTATCCAGCTTGTTAATACAGTACAGTACAGTATGTATTTTATGAAGTAACAGAGCGTGTCATGAAGGCTACTGTTGAGCTCTAAGTATTATTTTTCAACAGCGATTATTTTTTTTTTACAAGGTATCACATATATTAATACCGGAGTTACCAGACATTTTTGAAACAATTGCTTTATTTTTTGTGATGCTTAACTGAACATTCATATTCAGTCTGCATGGCCGACAACTGTTTTCCCTTAAATTTGTGCTTAACCAATTTTTTTCTAGATTTTTTTGGGCGCGCAATGTTTAGTTTGCATTGCTAGCATGCCGGGACACCTACTTGGTATTCTGTCTCACTTGGATAACTTTCAGGGAACATCCGACGTTTCCGGCGAATATGTGAGCACATCCAGGCTCAGGTGTGCAGCCGACGGCCGCCAGCCTCCCCGAGGGTAGGACGCAAGTTTACTACAGAACTGTCTGAGTCTTCCTCCTGTGGCTCTGATACCTCCGAGAGACTCTCACCCTTCCCTCCAGGAAAACAGGTGTGTCTGTCTATCTGTTTGTCTGTCTGTCTGTTGTTTAACTCTTAAGCTGTGTGTGTTTCTTAGTTACTCTGTGTGTGAGTCGTAGTTACTTTCTACAATGTCTGTTTGTAAGTTACTTTTTTTATTGTGTGTGTGTGTGTTACTTTTAACTGTCTTTGTTTGTTTGTTTGTTACTTTTTACTGTCTTTGTTTGCTACTTCTTTCATAGTGTGCTTGTTAGTTACTTCTTTCACTGTGTGTTTATTTGTTATTTCTTTCACTGTGTCTTTGTTACACTATTGTTTGTTTTTGTGAATGATTATCATTACTTTTACTTGCTTTCACTCTTTCATCCAGAAAAACAAGTGTGTGTGTGTGTGGCGTGCATGCGTGAGTGAATGCGTTCGTGTGTGAGTGTGTGTGTGTGTGTGTGTGTGTGTGTGTGTGTGTGTGCGTGCGGTGTGAGTGCGTGTGTCAGTCGTATATAATACTTCCTAGACTGTCACTCTCTCCTTTGGTCCAATAAGCAGTTGTACGAGTGTCTGTCATGCTTATTATTTCATGCACTGAATATAAACCATGAATGATTTTTCTTCACCCAAACAGACTGACTATTAAATAACCTTTATTAAACAGATGCCAAAAGTCAATGACGCAATAACTGCACAAGTAAAGTATATTGTCGACTAAAGTTGGTGCTCTCAAATATGCTTTTCCCTCCATTAAACATGTACACTCAAGAACCATTCCCTTCAACCATCAGGTGAGCTTGTAAGTCACTTCAGAGTGTGCATATTACTTAATAGTGCATGTTACTTATTTACTTACTCAGACAGGCGCACCTCAGTTACTTCATTCCATAAGCACATGAACTTGTGAGTTAGTCCCCCCTCTTACGTGGATCATTACGTCTATGCCTTCCAATATTCAACACAACATAATCCTGTATTACCTTCCACTAGTGAGTGCGGCGGTCGAGTGGATACAGCGCTCACCTCCTGTCCTATGGGTCGGTGGGTCGATCCCCGGGTACTCCCAGTTCACCCAGCTGTAAATGGGTACCTAAGTTTATAACTTGGGGAAGTGAAGGCGGTCGAGTGCAGTACCGGCCATGCTGCCTCCTTGTGTACCGAAGGCTTAGTATACAGTGTGCTGTATCCACACTGTCCTTAACGGGCAGTCATGCCTATGGGACCCACTTTCACTTTTTCACCTTCCACTATGCAACAAAACAGGTAAATACTCTTTTACCTTGCAATATAACTTATTATACAACAGCAGCACGTACACACATACACACACGTGTACACGTGTCCTTCCATAATGTCATATCATTACTCTCTCTGACACCTTCCACTCTCAACTCCACATCAGAATGAAATGCTATTGCTGTATCCCCATGGTTGTCCACTTACTATAGTTTTTCTTGCAGAACATATTTGTCTTAATGTCTCTAGATGACACTATACTGATCCTTGAGGACCAGTATACCGAGCCTCCAGCTAAGAGTGTGTCAGCTACCCACTGCACCACCCCCTCATCTCGCTCTCTCCCCGCTCACATCCTCAACTTGCCACTCCTTCCCATCACTAAAGACATCAAATATTATGAAGCACAGTAGTTTGATTGTTTATAGGATATATCTGTATGTTGTAGGTTTTAGATTGTAATTCCTCTCTAATCATATATTTTGCTGATTAATTTTTATTGGGACAAAACTGATAAGTAATCAGGAAATGGTAACCAACCTTCAACTGATGATTGAAAACAATTATTGTAATGTGTTGGTACTGATTCTCTGAAGTGAGTGGTACTTGACTTATATACTAGTAAAATATGCTCAGAGATATGTTTTAAATACGGTACATTATATCTTTATATGTTATATTTACTCTGTATTTTTTAGGCTAATGTATATACAACTGAAGAGTGATTTGTATTACAGACTGAGAGCGACGTAGAGAGCGACGTGTCCCAGTCAGAGGGCAAGAACCTGTCTAGTGGTCGGGGCGGCACGGATTCTCCTCAACCCAATGTGTCCAATGGGCGTAGCACCTCGGACCCTGAGACGCAACAGCTGGGGTCGTCAGAGCTGGCCACGTAGTCCAGGGCGGGCCGGGCCCCTACTGGTAGCGACGCCAGCACCAGCGCCCTACTGCCACCACCCTTCCTGCCAGGCGGCCCCTGTGACCAGGCCCCGCGTTCCGTCGAGAAGAACATTTGCTCATCAGGACAGAATAACATTAGGGATGCATAATGCTATGGCAAACGGCTAGAATATGATTGCCAACGTGATTAGATAAAACTTGTCCATATACTTATGTATGGTAAGCAAATAAACTTTGAAATTACTTGTTTTTACCCCTAAGGACGAATGAACTAGATAGTGCTTGCTGGTATGATCAGTGTCGTGTTTTGTCCAGGGATGGTTTAATCTGAAAATGCGAAAAGATACTTTTAGCTTCAAGTTTTCTTGTCGATAGGCTTCCTAACATCTTCTGATATTGGTGGAGTAAGGTACTGTGACTTCTTGCTTGCAACTACGTTATTCTACTCATTTTATACTATATTTAGAAAGAGTGTTTTATAGGGTATAGCCAAAGCGACGAAACCTACAACCATTTATTATTTCCCATGCAAGTTCGTAGCATGCCAAAAGGTTATTTGTCTCTGCAACAAGTGACAGTGGAACGCTTCACCAAATTGAAATCGTCCGTAGAGAGTGCTGACCTGAGAATGACAAAGTCAGCACGCTTGCAACAGCAAAAAAAACTGATCTTTCTCTTTTCTCAGGCAAAGTCCTGTTTAACGCAGTGTTTGTGTACTTGGGACTGTACGTGAGGACGGGAGTGAGACAGAGTCACCACTGTACTGGCTCTGTGTTGGCCAGCCTTACCAACACTGTGTTGTTCTCACTACCTACATTACCCTGTATTTACTCAGAAAGAATTACATTGTTATGTAGTTTTATTCATGAAGAAAAACCAGATGAGAAGTGAGGTACAAACTGGTGTTTGTGAAAGGTGGCCACAAACCCAGGGATTAAAGAGCAGTACCGGGAGCCCTAACTTCATCAACTGATCAGTCATCCTCCATCACTACCACACCTCAACCGTGATATCAACCCAACTTCTTTAAATATATTCAAGAACTATTTCTTCCGACTCAATATGTATGTAATCAGTGAACTTTAGTCTTGGTATGACCTTCTGGTAATCCTCTGTTGTTTTTGTTCTTGTTCATGATGAATTTGTACACAAATATATCATTATAGTATAAGGTTTGAGTTGACTACAGCTATCAAGAGTAATGGTGAACCCCTTGTGGAGTGAACCTACCAGTAATGTACCAACACTGTGCAGTGTGAATCTGACAGTAACATTTGTGTGTCTGACATTTGCTTAACCATTTTCCTCCTCATAACGGCCATAAATGGTAAACTTAGGCACATGTAGTGTGGTAGAACACTGACAGTTAGAACACTCATCAATCACCATTCAGGATTATTATCTTGTAAACCTTGGTGCTTGGCCTTGCATACTAGACAGTTGTTCATATCGTTCCAAAATTGGCATCAGTTGTTGCACATCGTTAACTGTTCAATAACTTTCCAGAAAATGTTATTACAGTACTCCTCAATGGCCCGCGAGTCGCTTCTTTATGATAGGACAAAGGATAGAATTAACATAACTACAATGGTAATTTTGATAAATTTCATAAACTTTGATCACTAGACATAAATATACCATTGTTTGTATTTTGGCACAAGGTCTCCCAACAGCCACTTGCTGATTGAGATTCAGTGAACGGAGAAACAAAGAACACAACTTTGTCTTGCATTCACAGTTTTCACATTTTTCGGGTTTTAACATTACTATCAGGTATAACAGAAAACAGTGTTAATACTGATTCATCACATTCTCTAGGCAAGAGAGTTCAGGGAATACAGTACACTTTATCATAGAGGTGACCATAAGTGAAATAAACCTTTCACCATCAGCTGTGTCTGAGGAAAAGTGTTTCAGGGACTCTTTCAGCCAACCACAAGACTGAAAACAATGTAACTCCCACTTCAAATGCCAAAGAAATATGTAAATTATTCTATGACTCCAGGATGATCCTGGCAGATCACTTAAATTCTAAGAGAATATCATCGACCACTAGGATTCCAAATGAAATGCTAGTGACTGTAAATCAGTGCAAGACTGTGGTAACTCTGTGGCAGGTCAAAAGTCCGGAGAGTTTGGATTTGTTCCCAACACTCCAGGAATACTGTAGACCTTAGGTAACCAGGTACCTCTGGGCTACTGAGATGATTGCACAATATTAACAAAATAACATTACAGTTGGACTGATTACTAGGGTAAATTTCTCAATGTCATATACTTGAAGAGGAAGCTATCATAAGGCGTGCCATAAAAGAATATTTATGCCTGAGTAAGCAGCTTCCACAACAGATCCATGTCTATGCTGATTTTTTTTAGAGTACAGTTCAGTACAGTACAGCATAAAACCCTGACATATTTAAAGAATCAGTCAATCTGGAGCTAAAAGAATGACACTTGAATGTTGGTTAAAATTGGTATATAATCTTAACTGGAGAACCAGGAATTCTGCGAGCGAAAGATAGACTCGTTAGGGTGGTGGACAGACACACAGAAGGTCTGCTATTATGCTGGGCGGTAAGAGGGCCTTGTATCGCACTTCCTCATATAAACACACATTCTTTCATCATGCACGACATAACATTTATTTATATTTGCAAATCAGATTCGATGTAACTTGCATTCTCTGCTGCTTGATGCCAGATCTAATCCATTTTGGTCAAATCCAATTTATTTTTTGAGTTATATACGTAATGAAACTAGAGCGTTATATTAGGCATGGATTGTCAAGAAAAGTTTATTATAGCTTTACCATTGTTAGAGGCAGCATATATACACTGGATTAAATATTCTCGGTAGTGCAGTCCCATTTTATACAGCCTGTTTTGTACAAGTCTTTCCTACTCATGAACTCATCTTCACAGCTGTCATCTTACTAAAGCAGCCACTTAGAATACATGCCGGGTGGCCTCAGAAATGGATTACGGATCAGTAGGAAAATATGTGACGCCCTTTGATTGGCCAGAGAGATGCTGTGTCTCTACGAATGAGCGTCACAGATAATCCATGTGATTATGACTTCTTTTTCTGGTCACACCCAAACGTCTACAAAGTTTGGCGATTCTCACAAGCCAACGAGGAGGCCTTCTGTAACCCTCACCTTTTCCTGCAGCCCATGTGTAGCCAGGGCCAGTCAGGTAGGCCCTTACGGCGACGTGACAGCCACACTTACCGGGCACCAGGGCAACCCCGCTAGCAAGCTCCGGGACCCGGCCAGGCTGCTCGTTCCCATGTAGTCTTGTGGCGAGGACAGCAATATCCGACCTAATGCTGAGTTCTCACGAGTTTCATTTTTCTATACACATCACCTTAAAAATTAGCCTTATTGGAGGATTCTCCCAGGTCTGTAATAGCTGGCCTCGTCACATGCTTTAGAGGAGTAAGCTGTTGTGCAGGTGTGGAGGTGGGGCCCCACTGGGTGAGAGTCGTCAAGTTATAGCGTCCAGTTAGGTCTATGCTCTCAAGGTTTTGTCCCGACACGGTGTGTGTAAGTTTTGTAAATATTACTTTGTAAGAAATATGCTTGTTAAGTCTGTATTATACTCATATAAAGACCAGTATCTAGGACATATCAATCCTGTCTTTTCCCCATTCCTCTCCAGCAGTAACTTGTATCTGCATTATTGACAGATGAAAAAGATTCCCCATCACTTATTCAGCCACACAATACAACACTACTGTACCAAGACTTTATCAGCATCAAAATAATTACAATTGTGTGTTAAGTCTCAAATTTTGTCACGGAAACTGTTACAAATTTTGATATTGCGGCTGACATACAAACTGATGTACCAAGACTTTATCAGCATCAAAATAATTACAATTGTGTGTTAAGTCTCAAATTTTGTCATGGAAACTGTTACAAATTTTGATATTGCGGCTGACATACAAACTGAACTTAACCCTAGGACCGCCGCTCACCCTCGGGATTTAAACCAATGTTCATGGGAGGAAACCAATGAAAAGACCCCTCAAGATCTCGTGTTACACCTGACATGACACAAGGGTTGATTACAGGTGATGAGACTTGAATACCTGTCATCTCATTAATTAATCCATCCTCACTGTCATGCTAACTCGCCTCACCAAGTACAGTACTCTGATCACTCACCTGTTAGTACTCTGATCACTCACCTGTTAGTACTCTGATCATTTACCTGTTAGTACTCTGATCACTCACCTGTTAGTACTATGATCACTCACCTGTTAGTACTATGATCACTCACCTGTTAGTACTCTGATCACTTACCATTATCCAGCTCGCCTCTCTTGGTCATGTTCACAATCATCTGTTCATTACCATCACCCTCGCCTCTTCCTCATAACACTCCAAATACATTTTTTCTCGTACATTGTCTCCATTGTGTCATAAATTATCATGTATCTGTCCTTCACGTTCATCTCTATCTCAACCCTCACCTACCCCCTCACCCCCCTCACCCTTACCCCCTCAGCTTCACCCCCTCAGCTTCACCCCCTCACCCTCTTCTCTCATTATCAAACTCTTTCCATTTTAACTTCATTTTTCCTCGGATGTTTTGGAAAAGTTGTCATTCTTCATCCACTCATTAATATTCCTTTAGTGATTCTTTAAATTCATCTGTATATCATGTCTTTATCTCTACATATACTAGAAGTTTTTCTTACATTTATCTTTTAATTTATTCACCAAAATTCCAAAATTTCTTACAGTATATAGGACATTTTCTAAGTAAAGTGACAGTGTTGGTGTTTACTATATTTCATTGGGTGTTATTTATTCATAGTATTGTCATCGTAGCTTATCTACATGTTCATAGATATCTCATCAAGTCACCTCAAGCATTAACTGTTTATAATCTTTGCTGATAAGGTCTGTGGCTGGATAAAGGGCGCAGTCAAGCACGCAGGAACATTGTGGTGGAATGATTGATAAAAGAGAAAGGAAGGTGAAATACAACCTGGAAGGTGGGTGGTGATAATCAAGTGTACCTGGAAGCCAAGCCGAGGATCAGAAGAAAGGTTTACGAGGCTAAGAAATGTGAACAGAAGGCATTTGTGGATAAGCTGGATAATACTGATGTTGGAGGTGAGATATTCGGAATAGTAGGAGCAAGGATGTAGTTGTTGAGCAGTGTGAGGCAAGGAGAGGAAATGTGGAAACTAAGGATGCTTCGAAAATACTATATGGTTGTCTGCTGAATGAGGAGTGTGGTTGGGGGGGGGTGTAGGGTGGTGTAGGTACAGTTGCTCTGGAATAGTTGTAGAAATGTTGAAAGCAGGAGACGATGTTGGTCTGCCTTTCATTATGGATGGTAGCAATAAGGGACAAGGATGCTGGTATAAATGACATGAATTTGATATTTCTTTTTTTTTGTTACAATTGACAGTCTTCATGAGTACGATGTAATAGAAATTGTTTCCGATTTTATTACTATATCAAGAAAAAACAAAAATGGCTAGAGCTCTATCGTCAGAACACTCCTACAGTACCTGAGTGTCCCTGGGTTTGGGTCTTAATAATGGGATATCTCTGGGTTAAGACCTCCCAATGACTGGACACTAACACCAAGACTTCTCTGTCTTGCCTTCCCAACATTCGTCACAACAGATATAAACACAACTCGGTTCTTCTGGGGTCTGTATGATACCATTGGGAAAGAAACTACAAGAAAGATTTTGCTTTTTATTCTAACATGAATTCCATAAGACATTGAGGGTGTAATGCTGTTGGAAAACTGAATAACAGCCAGAAAGTCATAAATTTAATGTGCCAATTAAATTTAATCCAATCATATAAAGAGTCTGGCCTAAACTACCTTCACAGAATAACATTTATGACTTTCGAAAATTATTCAAATGCCTGAATAGTAAATGCAATCATGAACACCGTAACTACATGCTTCTGATTAACTATAGACAGTATTTCCAGATTTAGGATAGAAGGGGAGTGTAGGCGAGCCATAGGAGGGAGAGTTGGCCAGGGTTCCTCTCTGACAGTTTCCTCAGCCAGATGAAGTGTGTCGCCATAGTGTGCCACCCATCAAGGTAATGCCATCTACAAGTGCCTGACTTTCATTAGGCAATTTACTGTATACCTAAATAATCCTGTAGAATAGATAGTGGTTAACATCCATTGATGAGATCACCTGTAATATTATCACGGAGTAAAGATCCTACAGTGGTCTCCTTAACAATCTAAAACACTGAAAACCTAATGGATCTTCTTGACACTTAACACATCTGTGGGTCTCATCTCAAGATAATTATCACATTAAAAGTGATTCCTCTTAAACTAACAAATGTCCACCAATTGAATAACCTGCACAAGGATATAATAATCTATCGGCAGAGCTATTCAACCAGTGGAGAGGAACTTGAGCCAGAAGACTATCAAATAAGTATGTTTGTTTGGGGGATACTGCACAGAGCCTGGAAGCAACCTTACACGTAATAACTATAGAGAAAGACCGGTAGCTTGTCCACCTGAGATGATGTTATTGTCTTCAGCCACTGTTAGCTTCCTTCTGGCACTAAAAAGAAAAATCATATCTGACCTGATTTAGGTGAGGAATTCTACCTGGTGTTTACAACTTCATTTGAAAGAGCATCCTAGTTTTTCAACACTAAGCAAACAGATCATGTGATAATAGTTCCACGTGTGAAGTGATTAACCTTTAAGGGTAGAGTGCTGTAGTGATTAAAGGTTCCAATAGGATACTTGATAATTACATTAACTGTGTCAGGAGCATAATTATTGAAGCACTAACCTCAAGGAATTAAGAGAAGACTCGGAGACCATCTTGTAATCAGTGACCGTGAGGGAGACTACATGCAATATTTTCTTAGATCAACAGCTTTTTAATTTAGAAACGGCAATAGTAACTAGTTTTAAGAGGCAGGTTCTTGAGTTTCACTTGAGCCTTAAGTTGTGTGAGCAACATGATGACCAGGAAGTGTATCAGGTGATCCAGCACGTGGGGAGTACACCAGCTCCAAAAGGAAGGAGACCAGCCCTACCAACATTCCTGCAGCGAGAATAAACGCACGGTGTCCTCAAGTCAATTAATTCTTCTTGCAGAGAGTCAGTAACTATCCAACCATTACGACTAATATTTTGGAATGTTATGTTTATTTACATTGAATAATTGATTAAGGTTAAAATCTGTTCAATACATACTTACCTCAAGGGGCAGTAATTAGGTAACAATCAGTCTATTTAAACCTGTGACGTTGGCTATTTGTGCCAGACTTTCAGGTGAGCTACTCCGTGGATACCTTGTATATCTCACTTGTCACATCTCTGGTTCTTGTATTGGAGACAGTGGCTAACTAAAGCTTGTATGGAACACAAGAGAAAAACCATTAGGAGAAGGGGTTGGATTCATCACTAAAACTTGTCTTAAACAGCCGTGGTACTTACCGCCAGCATACACACAAAAGACACCGTAGAAGTCCCTGAGATTGAAGCTGCGTTGAGTGTTGGTGGAGCTGCCGAAGGACTTGCTATTGAAACAGATCTCCACATTTCTAATACCCGTGAAGTGCAGATAATCCAAGATGCCGGATTCCTTAAGCCGCTGAATGCTGTTGAAAGGAAAATAGTTTTGTGTGTTTCAGTGTTCTATAAGGTTTTATCAGCCCCACGACTACTATGTTACAGAAATATTGGAGTACCACTATAAGAGGGTCCACACTTACAAAACTTCAAGAAATACATAATTAAATGTGGACAAATGTCTCATCACATCGGTACCCCTTACAACAGTCCTCGCACTCTGCTAAGTCTAATCCTTAACCATTAAACAGAACTTCAACTACTCAACTTGAGTTAGTGTTTAACTTTAACACAACAGCGTCAGCTGATGGTGAGCCAGACACAAAATTATCTCCCATTAGCAGTGAACATGTGTGACCCTGCAAGTGGTAAACATAGATGTACAAACGTGAGGTACAGTAGCTTACATTGGGTCGACCTGCCGCTTGAGAGACGAGTTAAATGGGAAGGCAAAGCTGAGGCTGGTGGCGGCCAGGAAGGGCTCAGACGCCATATACATCGGGCATTTTCTGGACTGTAAAATCATTATCATAAGTTAAATGGAGTCAACCTGATGTTTAAAAACCTAACTGCTAGGTATTTATTATCATTATTCATGTAAACAAATTTGGAGCTAAATATTCAGTTGAATAAATATTAAGATAACTTTAACCTGAGACAGTCACCAGTGCAAAGTGAGCATGTATTAAGTACAAGAGGCCCTTCTCGCTGGCCAGGAACGCGAACTTCCCTCGTGGGACATCAGGGGCTAGGGCCACGAAATCTTTGGGCACCACCGCCTGCTGGCGCAGCTTGTGCAACACATTTCCTTCCGGTGCCAGCTGTATATAATAAAGTTATGCATTAGCCGTTAGGACTTAGACAAAAAGAGGAGAAAAGTTAACCTTGTATCAGTTTCATAATCTCTCGCCATTGGCGAGACTACCCATTAGGAACACTGGAGATAAAAGGCACCGTATACTTAACCAAGGGTACAGAAAGAGGCATCGTAATTGGCACTGCACTCGACAGCCTCCATTACCTAAACTGTTAAATTAGGGACCCATTCACAACTGCGGAAACCCGCGACCATAAGGGCAGGAACGCTGTACCCACGCGGCCGCCACACCCCTTAATGGCCTCTTAACTAATACTAACTCCAAACTTCTCAAAATATGGAACGATGTGAAACTTAACTTATGAGGACATAAAAAGAAACAAAAGGATCAGATATCGAAGACAAAATAACACTTTATGATAACGAATAAAGACCTGGACAGAAATACTCGTGTTAGTAAAAGAAAAACAGAACAGAATCGAGGAAATCTTTGAGCGAATCACAAGAAAGAAAGAAAAGTAAAAAAGGAAAAAGAGCAACTATGAGAGACGAACGAGAGTGAGGAAGTCGGAAGACCCTTAATAGGCAGTAAAGGTTTATGACATAATATATACAGAGAAAGAAACCTGATTATAACATACGCGGGTGCACATTTACCATCATGTAGCTGTGAACCAAGGAGCCATTTAAGACAATACAGGGAATGTCTGTCTGGACCAACTCCTCCAGGCTGTTGAAGGGGAGGCGCAGCTTGGGCAGGATCAACATGGCCTTCAGGTTGGAGCGGTATACAGACCCCAGGATGAAGGCCATCAACAACCACGTCCCAGCGATGATGCGCAGGGAGTCACCGCGCGGCAACCAGGATGATGCTGTGGTGATAGTGATGATAGTGAGTCACCGTGCAGCAACCATGGTGATGCTGTGGTGATAATGGTGATCATAACGAGAAACAACCATGATATATTCTCATTAAACACTGTTGAACATGTTATCAAAATTCACTGCACAATACATGAGAGACAGTTGCCTCTGGTCCCACTTAAATGAATGATAAACTGAAGGGTTAGGTGAGGTGAGCCGAGACAGGTGGTGAGGTAGATGAAGCCTTACACTGCGCTAGAAGAGCAGTCAGCGTCCCCAGGCAAGAAGTCCACAGGCTGGCCCGGACGCTCCTCTCGGCTTCTAGCGGCTTTCTCACTGTTCGTATAGACGTTCTGCCGCCATCATCATCAATCTCGCTACCACCATCAAATCTGAAGAAACACCATATCATTACCCTTAAACCAACAGATATGGTGACCCAACAGTAAAAAAGTCATGTTATTTGCCAATCATTAAACAGCTAATGGGATATCAATTTGCCAGCCATCCCCAGTACTTGCCAACATTGTGTAACAGAGAAATGATTGACTGCCCGACCTACTGCTGGAGCCGAGCAGTGTGTGTGTGCGTTATCAGTACCAGCTGCTGTGTCGTGTACAACATTAGATCAAGGTCTATATACGTTTCTATTGACGCTTGTACCCTTGGTGTTTATTTTCTCCATAATCAGAACAGAAGGATATTGTACAGAGCCAAATCTCATTGGATAATTTCCCAAAGCAAAAAAAAAAAAAAAAAAATCCTATCTCTAAAATACTAGCAGAGTAAATCCCATTAGTTCAAGCTTGACCACTGAAAGGAGAGGATTAATATAAGATTTCGTTCAATCACTCACGATGGACGAGGCAGGGGGCGAGCTCGACTCCATTGAACAAAGAAAGTCATGATGAACACCACCACCATTGTCGCCAGGAACAACAGCCAGGACTGTAAAAAAAATGTTCAGACCACGAAAAAATTGTGTGTGTGTGTGTGTGTGTGCGTGCATGTGCTTATGGTATACTCAGTTAACAGAGAATCACATATGGTTAAACTGGTGAGCTCCATGTGACTCTCAATGTTAAATTATTTTTTTTTCTTAATCAAAAGTAACAAAATATGGTTAACTCTTCCTTACCGAGAGGGTGTAAGGCTTAACGAACCCGGTTAGGTCTGCCTCGATGCTGGGCAGTTTGTAGAGGATAGACAGTTGGTCAGTGTAGAGCGGCACACTGAAGTCAACAGCCTTAGCTCGCGCTTCACCTATGGTCAACACTGTACCCGACATGGCTATCTCCTAAACATCAATTTAACTGTTGTAAAAAAACTGTATATATATATATTTTTTTTTTCACATAAATATATATTGCAAATTAAAGTATCATGAAAACTGATACAGAATGGTTAATGATAAAAAAAAATATAGCTGTATTTATACTGCTTGTGCAAGGTGTGAGAATTATTGGATGTATGTTATATAAGTTCCTAGTTATGTTCGCTATATGTGTCACTATTAAAATATCTAAAGTCACATTGGTTTCTATTTACTAGATGTATGGCAAAGGTGTTGATGGCTGGTGGTGGTGTAGTGGTGTTGCCCCTAACTGGAGATCATAAGTTTGAAATATGGGCAATGAGATATTTAGTGATATATGACTCTCACCTTGCGGACCACCATCCCCATGATGCCCGTCCAGGAGCCGTTGCTGAGCTGTGCCCCCCAGTAACCTTCCCTAGGCACCACAATCTCATAGCTAAGGCACCAAGCAAGAACAGTCATGAGATAAGTGAAAATAAATTTTTTACTTATTTTATTTCAGTAATTCAATCATATGGTGAACTTTTCTCAACGTGAAGGAAAGTTTTGTCACGTTAAATATTCAAGTACAGGTTTATCGCCACGAGATAAATTTGTTATAATTCTCAAATATCATTTTTCTTAACATTATGATGGACAAGTGTGGATACGAGCCAAGTGAGAACACCAAGAATAACAAAACTGGAAATAACTATTAAACTCTGTGATACAAGAGGTGTACAGTACACACACTAATGAACTGAAGGCTGGTGGAAAGGTGTGAGAGAGATAAGGGTTCCACAGTGAGGAGTGGGAGGGAGCATGGAATGAAGATAAGTGATTGTGAATATTTTTGTTTTCTTTTTAGTTAACATGTGAGGCAATCTAACAGCCCCGCCTGTTGAGTGACATTTCAACTACCCAATTGTGTTATCTGTTGTCTTGCTGTTCCAAGTCCTCATTATAAGGTATTTGGTGAAAGGAGGTGCCTGGGCAGTCAACTTGACTCCCATCAGCCATTGACGGCACAGGTAAGCTTCGTCTTTGCGGTGTTATTTCCTGTTATTTGTCAGGGTGATTCTTTTTTTTTTGGGGGGGGGGGCACTCCCCTACATCCTTGTGTAAGGTGGAGCACAGAAGCGTTTACAGTGCCCAACAGGGAAGCATGCTTAGGTCATGCTTGCCTTTATGTCTCATGAGTTAAGGGCGTAGAAGCCTGAAGAGTCAGTGGTTTATGTCATCAAGTTATTGGAAGCTCCAACAACTTGTCCCTGAATACGAATTCGCAACTTTCGATGTACACCAGGTACCTACTTTACTGCTAGGTGAACGGGGACTAATGGGGGCTAGGAAGTATGTCCAAACAACTTACACCGGCCCGGGAATCGAACCCGTGACATCTCGCTTGCGAAGGCAAGAGCGGTACCACTCTACCACCAGCACCCCCTCAGGGTGATTTATTGGTGGAAGAAGTTTTCGTTGTTGGATCCATTACAGTTTAACATTTTGAAGTTTATTTTTTGTATCATTTTTGATGTGTTCCTTTACCAGGACTCTTAGAGATTATCCGATGCCCTGGGGCACTGATGATAGGGTTCTGCTAAAGGGATCTGCCACATGCTGGGATGACGTGATAGATAATGATAGTTCCACAGGAGTTCAAACAAAAAAGAATAATGGCTTAAATCTCATTAGCAAACTGACCATGGAAATATATAGGATCACAAATGAACAAGTCAAGAGATAGATGAATTGTCTGATATGAAAAAGAGGTAAGGACGAAGTGGAGGATTGATCACTGATGAGGATGAATACACATTGTAATTCATATAACAGTGGTAAAATGAAGAGGAAAAGCACCAACCTACACAAGACCATGATGACAGGTGAGGGACAGATGCGATGACCACTGTCAGAAAAAGCTTAAGAGTTCTATAAGTGTGAACAAATACCATAACACTATAAGAACAATACACTACAAAAACTACAAAAGAACAACAACAGGACAAGAGATGAACATTATAAGACCAACTCGCTACAAAAAATTTACCAGAAGTTTAGTTTCTGAGCAATAATGTCCAGGACAGAAATGAGGGTTCCGTTCAATTTGGGGGGCTTGGAGTAACGGTCTATAAGCATCACGAAGGGCGCCCACTGTCGAGTATACATCAGAGAGTCATCAACAATGTTATTTATCCTGAATTACCTGAAGATTAGACACCCCAGTTTCTTCCACCTGAAACAATCACTCCAATGCTTATGTTTCATTCAGGTAGATTTTTTTTGTTTTTTTCCTCCATAAATTACAAAAAAATCAGAATTCCACTTAAATAGATGTCTCAAGAATTATGTTGGGAGTATCTGGTATGTCTTTTCATCATAATCGGCCTGTCTTGTTTTCGAATGACATGAAACGTGGATATAATCATCTCAGTACTGTATACGGATACATAACATATATTAAAATCAAGAATATCAATAAATAAAAAATTCATGACACTGCACTAAAGGTGGTCTGTGCTGTGTACCGTAAGTTTTGAGCTTTTATCTTCACTCATGGGTCCGACGCTGGATAAATATACTATTTTCTTAGATTTTTTACCTTTGAGTTTTTGAGGGGATTTACTTTTATTGTGATCAAGGGATACACCCACATTTCAAATTTCAGTATTATTAGTTCGTTTTTCCGCCACCACTCTCCATCGTGCGCTGCAGTAAAAAGTCCCAACACGATGGCCCCGTCAACGGAGGATGTTTACAACTCCGGGTGCGTCTCTTCCTCTCCGCCGACCAAGCACTGAGAATCCATGGCCCAACCCAACACGCACCTGCCGCTTGACCTGACGCTAGCCTGTCTCTGTCCTGCCCCCTCCTGGCCGCGTCCGGGCGAGTTGCTGCTGCCTCCAACTTATACTCCCTCACGCAAGCGGTGTTTAGCCACTGCCCCTATTCTCTCCTCCTAAAATTCACTTCAATCCTCCCTTTATTCTTCCCCTGAACCTCCTTCCCCCCTGTCACTAGCATTTCATGTTCCTCTCCTCGACATTGTTACATAACTATTTGACAAATTTCATAACCGAATGACAACACATATCGAATGACAATCTAAAATAACTGTTGGTGGTATGTCATTCTCCAATTGTTACATTCTCAAACTATATGTAAACTGTCGGTTTATTGTTCACGTCTGTCAACTTCATAACTTATGTCAATCACTTCCGTTAGCATGAACCAACAGTTATTTTAGATTGTCATTCGATATGTGTTCTGTCATTCGGTTATGAAATTTGTCAAATAGTTATGTAACAATGTCTCAACGGATATGTGAAAAGGTGTATAAGGGTAGTTAATTTGCAGGTAAAGTACACTGGGATGCCTAATCTTCAGATGGTCCTATAGTTATATCATGGAAATAAGGTTTTGTTGATTTTTTATCTAACAATAAAAAAAACCCAAAGTATGATTTTACTCAAACTTATGTTATTGACCAAATGCTTTTTACAAAATCTGTGCGAGTCCCAGAAAGACAGTCACTTACCTCCTCGACGGCGACTTTAAGACAAGGAGGAGAGCCAGCAGCGGCAGTCATGGTGAGGGTCAACAACACAACACTCTTCTCCCCAGCTTCCTCGTCGCCTTAAATACTTCTCCATCTCAATAATTGAATAAGCACAAGATTAATCCTTCTGGTGACAAATGAAATGTTGGAGAGTTATAGCGCGTTGATTAGGTGGTGAAATATAAGGCCAGAAAATTATTCATCTTGGGAAAAAAAAATCCAGCTTATTCTTGAGTGTCACAATACTGAAAAGAGGTCATGTGTGTGTGTTGTGTTATTATAAAATGTCACCCTCTTAATTATCTTCTCTGACCTTCTGTGACCTTACTCAGAGAACCCAGAGAATATCTTTCACCGTATAAAGTCGTATTACACTTGGATATATTCGTTCACAGAGGAATATACACTGGTAGGTATAACATCAATTTACCTATTAAGTGAAAACGAAGGTATTTAGATCCTGTGTTAAGGCAGAACAGGAATAGTCCCAATGACATAGTATGAACGGGTTCCTAATTTTATCAGCTGAGGGACATTTAGCATTTGTATAGAACTTTATTCTGGCATTACTTTTATTTACTCTATTATCGACGATTAATTCGCCAGATGATCAAGAGTTAAGCTAGCCCAAAGTATTTCACTAAGGTCACAGTTGAGATGGATTCATTCCCACACACTACCAAACTCAATCTACGGCTGTGTTGAAATACCGGAAGTGTAAACATGAAGTCGTGATGCTGTTTTCTTATCAAAGTATATATCATAAAATACATTGGTATTATATTTCATTGAGTCTTATATTTCACTTTATACATCATATCAATGCTTATTTCACAACAAAATTTGTGTATAGCTCAAGAATTTATTATAATTTTCAGCATTTCGGAGACGTCCAGCTCCCTTGATTGTTTGTTTGAAAACTTCTACATTGCTTTACCCTTTAAAGTACTATATTTGCTGCAATGTTATTGAGGGCTATTTCAATTATATCCACTAATTACAGTTATAAAAGACTTTAACGTAAATATTAACACAGGACATGAATACCTGTGTTTGCTTTATATACAGGTATGTGTTTAATAAAATGACTGACTAATTGTCAGTCACAGTAAGCATTTGATACATAATGATAAGCCAACTTATTAATATAACACATAATTATGTCAACATGGGCCTGGCGTCCTCCCTTGGGTCGTTGGTTCGAACTTGTGATTCGGTTGGTTCGACTTCGATCACGAAAACTTGTAACTTGCTCAGCTGTTCAGTTTGTTTCCAGCAGCGAAGCGTACCGGTGACGAACTCCGCGCTCTCCACTCTAACCTCCATCCATAGCTTATAAGACCTGTTATTTGTGCTTGTGCGTGTGTGTCAAGGTAAAGCATCGCTGGTGTGAGGCATTACTCGGAAGGCGCAACTCTTCACCAAGCGGAGGATCAGGTAAGCTAGTCATAGTAAGGGCAGGTGAACTGCTGGTGGGATGATTTATTAGACGTAGAGGTGGGCAGCTACGGGTGTTGTTGGCGAGAATTACGAGCTACGGATAAAAGGAGGTAGAAGGCGACGGAGAGAAGGAGAAAGAGATTATTAGCGCACAAAACACGGGGTGAGGGGGGAGGATATTATGAAGATAATAGGGTAAAAGTTTTGAAGAGCACGGTAGCCATTTGCATTGTTGTCCTCGCAGTTTTCGAGCCAACATTCCGTCCACGTGTTCATGAGTACCATTTAAGGCTTCACTGTCGTCGCGAGGAAACTCTTGTCATTGTAGGTAATGGCGTCTGGCCTCGTAGAAGTAGATTGAGGAATTAAAAAATAAGGAAAATGTTGGATTCCTCGAGGCAAAAAAAATATTGTAAAATAAAATTTTGGTGAGGTGAATTTGTGTATGTGTGTGAAATTTGATTACGTAAACTATGAAATTTTTTGATAAAGGGTGGGCAGTAACTAGCCAGGGAAGGAGGGTATTTATGGCGTCGTGAAGGGAGGAGAGTGCTCGCTAAGAAAGACCTCTCACGTCCCCGGACCCCAGGTTTCATGTGCCCCTCACGCGACCCTCAGTAGTTGTAAGGGAGTCGTTATTTCCTGATACATGATGGGATAATCAATGTTTAGATCCGCATGATGTAAAAGTAAAAGGTTTTCAAAAGGTTGGTGTCCTTGCACTTACCTCAAGTCTGTTGCTGACATTTTAACGGCCAGTTTTGCCAGAATATACCAACCATCCGAAGGGGTAATAAGCTGATAAGTGTGAAAAGATAAATAAAAATTAAATAAATAAAATGAAAGTTGAGAAAATTAGTAGAGTTCCTCCGTAAAAGGCTCTCTCGGAGGACCATTTTCAATTATTACCAAAGAAGATGTAATTTTAGGGTAAACTTGTATATTGTTACATTCACCTGGTGTTGTATAATATTTTCTTATTTATCATTTGTGCCATTGGTCTGCTCTCTAGCTGGCTGGGTGGTCGGTCATTTCTCTATTACACAACGTTGGCAATTGCTGAACATGTCCTGGTGGTTTCTTAAACACTGTTGGCAAGTACTGGCTTCAAAATGTATCTGTACCTGTGGCAGTGTTGGTCAAGTTTGGTCTTGACTGAGCTCACACTCGGTGCTGTCACAAAACTCTTGCAAATTGTTCCAACAGTTCACAAATCTCACCCCAAAAAAGGTTTGCCCTGACAATTTTCTGAACTTGTGGCGGGTATTTGCCAGCTCCGGGTATGAACTTAAGAGTTAATAATTTGATATGACTTGATTTGATTTTCATTGGTAAATGTTAAAGTACATTCCGAACTCTTTCCACTCTGCCTGTCCGTCTGTCTTGTCTACCACCGTATTTGTCCACCGACGTATCTATTGTCTACGCATGGTAAGAGTGGGCTACATATTGTCATGGTCAGTCTTATATTTTAGCTAGTCGTTTATCTATATTGTATACTTAATAATGCTCTTTAACCTTGGTTAGTTTCATCATCCAAAACATGGCGGGAAATTATTTTAAGTCTTAAATGCCTGGTGGAGCAAAAGGTTCCCAGTGACTGGAAAATGGATTATGGGAGTCCTATATTCAAGCAGGGCGATCATCACTCCACGAATAATTATATACCAGTGAACCTGACCAGCATAGTATGTAAAATACTAGAGAGCAACCTTGTGAGGGACTGCCAAAGTGACCTTATGCAGGGACGCTCCTGTTTAACACAATTACTCCAGGTACTGGATGTTTGGATTCAAATTCTGAAGCAGGATGGCAATATCGACAATATATATTCCTGAATTTTTCCAAGGCATTCGACAGTGTACCCCATGAAAGGATGGATATTAAACTAGATGGGTACGGGATTTGGGGAAGTGTCCTAGCGTGGATCGGAGACTTTCTTCATGACCGCAAGCAGTGTATGATGATTAATGGTACGAAATCGTCTTGTGTACCCTACCCGTGACAAGCGGGGTACCATAGGGTAGTGTATTGGGCCCTTTGTTTGTTTGTTTGCTTCATAAATGACATTTCCATCTGGAGTTTTGTCACCCCGTCTGGTCCCCTAGACATGCTAGAGACTGTCAATTGATTGAAAATGTCCAAACTTACTCCGTTTTACACACTTACCACAGCCATCCTTGATAGGCTCTACAGAATGGGTTAACAGTTTTCAGTATTTCTCTCTGGTCAATTGTTACTGTTATCTGTAAATAAAGATGCTTTAATTTGTTATGCTCATAATACTGACACTGACAATGCAAAAACAAAATTCATTACAGTATTAGAAATTTATTTAAGTACAGTGTACCCCTTATAGGAACACTTGCTATCAACTTAAGAATCCATATATTTTTAACCTTAAATTTTTATTCAAATAAGTTCTGATAACATGTACATTTTAAAGGAGTAATTGATGAACAAAATATAATATATACCTGCTGCTGCTGCTGTGTGAACAACGTGTCCATTGACTGCATATTGATCTGGAGTAAAGTGGCTTCTACTTAACACATTAGATGTATTGAGCTGTTTCATTGTTTTATCCTTCAAATACGTCATATATAGTGTGTGCAGCCATTCCAAGCATCTGTTAAAAAGTATGATGATTAAAAGTGAGTAGTTTTAAGTGCCTAACTAAGTAAAGCACTGAGTATTCGTTCCAGAATATGACCTGGACTTCGGCATGATAACTTTTTCTGGGGTATCTTACTGGTTTGTGGCATTCAGACCTTCATTTCAAGGTCATGTGCTTAAACGAATATTAACTCCGAACTGAATATTGTTATATAACTTAATTTCAACAAAACAATTACATATTAATATTAACTTCATTTTTTTTCATCTTTGGGAAAACGATGGAATTTCAGATGGTTTGATTCTTCTTGTCTTTCCCACACATGACAGACATGAATCATGGGACCTTGTCTTAGGAACTATTTTTTACACATATGACAGACTGAATATACCGCAGTCTTTTCCCCAAATGTAAACAAACAGCTGACACGTAGCAAAAGACTCGGTCGGATCAGCGCCATCTATATTTAATGCGACATACTTCAAGGCGTCTATACACTCCACTGATATGCTGGAGTAATAGTTCCTTCATCTATATTTCTTGGCCATACGTCTCCCAAGTTTGTGTATATCCCAGAAATTCCTCAGCTATATATATATATCCAAGGTGATCCCCCCACAGTGTCCACCAGTATGTCTCATAGTGTCCGTCTTATTAAAATAGGGTGTCCACAGGATGTCCACCGAGGCTGCAGCAACATGCATGATGCAGTAGTGACGTCAAGGGGATCAATACACTGATGGTGGGGGAGGGGGATGTCTGCTGCCTCGCTGTCAAGGTTACGACCACCACCACCACCCTCCTAACCCCCACTCCCCCTCCTCGTTATTATCTTATTCCTTCTCTTCGTCTTTATCCTCCTCCAGTTCCTCCTCTTCCTCCAGTTACCTCTCCGTCACCTCCTTCTCCCCCCCCCTCCTCCTTCAGTTCTTCCTCCTCCTCCTTCCACTTTACATTTTACTGCATGGTGTTTTTCTCTTA